TCACTCACTGTTCCCCGTAGGTGGGCAAGGTAGATATACGCAAAGGCCGAACGATCGCACCCAGCAGTGGGAGAGACATGACAATCGGTATAGGGAAAAAAGTTGCAGATATCAGACGTGGAAATTGTGAGAATATCAGGGAAATACCATGTTTAACCCACCTGTTCATAAAATGGACTTGGCCGACATTGCCGGGATCGGATTGTATACAGGGAGTCATCATTATTTAAATATGGGTAAATATTTTTAAAGCTTGTACATTATATTTACATCCAAATAGAGGCTTACATAATTTTTGATATCTCATATAAGAAATAGACTACTCGTGTTCATAGTTTATCGAACAACAAAACACTGCAGAGGGAAATAAACCGTTCATTGCCGGGATCGTATTGTAAACAGGGAGTCGTCATTATCTCAATATGGGTAAATATTTCTAAAAGTTTGACCATTTTATGTACATCCTAATAGAGGCTGAACATAATTTTGATATCTCATATGAGAAATAGACGACTCGTGGTCATTGTTTGTCGAACAACAAAACACTGCAGGGATAAATAAACCACCCATTGCCGAGATCGGATTGTATACAGGGAGTCATCATGATCATTATTTTATTATAGGTAAATATTTTTAAAGCTTGTACATTTTATGTACATCCTAATAGAGGGTGTACATAATTTTGATATCTCATATAAGAAATAGACGAGTCGTGGTCATTGTTTATCGAACAACAAAACACTGCAGGGATAAATAAACCACTCGGGACTGCGCCCCTTATGGTTTATTCTCCCTGCAGTGTTTTATTGTACGATACACAACTCCCACGTGTCGTTTATTTCTTAAACACATGGAGTAGAGCAACCTTTATTACGTTTTCTAAGATGCCGAATATAAGACTAACCTTGTGTTTTATTGGAGCTGAGCGTAAATCAATTTTGTAATCACCTGTGACGTAAATTGAAAATCCTCGAACAGGGCTAATTGACGGGCTCTTCCAGCAAATCGCCTGTACCTTTATGTTAAGAGACATATTTTATACATGATACATCTCGAAATGGGTACTTTATTGTTTGAAAAGGTCACATTTCATTACGCGTTCATTGTGTGGTTAGGGGGCACGGGTGGCCCAGTCGTCTAACGTGCGTCCCTTTGACACACCAGAAACCTATGATTGTGGGTTCGAATCCCGGTTATCCCCGATTATGTTTCTAGGTTTGTCAGCACCACACCCGTGCTCGTGGGTTTCACCAAAGCGGCAAACATCTGAGACCTGCATCACTTCGGGCTTTCCTCCCAAATTTATCTGACACGCTGTGATATAACTGGAATAATGTTAAAAGCGGCGTTAAACCCAACTCACTCACTCATTGTGTGGTTATCCAGTAGGAGTTAAATTTAAGTTTATATCTGAATTTTCTTCAATTTAATAAATATTTCACAACTGCATTGTGGGGCCGAGCTAACACAGCTAAACATAGACGATGTTCGGTGTCGCTGGTTGAGTTGAGGTGTTTTCTGTTGTACAAGTTACCACACTTTGTTTTAACCACCAAAGTTAGCAGACTGCAGCAACTGCAAGCCATGACAAATGTTTCTCATCGAGTTGGTTGCGCGACATGAAACCCTAGCCGTCGCAAACTGACGACCTGGGTACGTTGTACAAAACAACCTTAGCTCTACGACTGTCGTAAGTATATGTTTAGGTATGGGAGTTACGATCATCTTACTGCTAAGATCGCTTTGTACTACGGAACCCTGGGCCTGATATTGGTAGGACGAACATGGTGTAGGAAGAGCAACCAGCGGCTATTTTGTTTGACTGCAGGATATTGCTTACTGCCATACGCTGAGCAACAGGTACACATGTGGTTATGAAACGTTTCAAGGACTGCTGATGCCTGTGTCCAGAGACATAGGCCAATTCCCACTACACAAGTTAACGCCCGTCTCGGACAGCTCTGTGACTGCTGTGGCTCGAAAACAGTGGTTTGAATATGTGTGGGTAGAGCCTTCAGCATGAGAGTTGGTTGACATCGTCGCCATATTTCTTCCCTCGTAATAATATGGAGTGAGTGAGTATGGTTTTACGCCGCTTTTAGCAATATTCCAGCAATATCACGGCGGGGGACACCAGAAATGGGCATCGCACATTGTACCCATGTCGGGAATGGAACCCGGGTTTTCGGCGTGACGATCGAACGCTTTAACCACTAGGGTACCCGACCGCCCCTAATAATATGGAAGTTTTCGACAGGTTTGAATAAACTATTTCCTAAAAATTTGATGTGGATGCGCAATCTTGCTTGGAAGTCATGAAAGAACGATGTTACCAAGGATACGTTAGATCAAGAGGGAGCTAATTTAAACAACGTCGTGACGTCACTCTATTATGACGTAATTCAAAAAGTGTACGTTATCGCAGGATAAAGTGTTCGGTGCCTTCGATCTTTTAGCAAAGAATCTTAGAGTTGATGCGCTACTCCAGTTCACTTCTGCCGTCAGCAATATGGGATCTGATTAACTTTTATTTACGGCATATGGCGATTTGTGTCTTTGTCTTTACGTGCGTTTGTTTATTAAACTTTGTCTACTAAGGTTACCGCAGTAAAGGCAACCAACTTAACCTCAGATCACCAGTGTTCATTAAGAATAACTTAGAACAGTACCCAAAATAGAACGGCGTGTACCTTTTCAATTTAATGCATATGAAATGAGAAGAAAGTTATAACTGGTATAATGTCAAATTAAGATGCAAAATCATCATCAAAGTTGCATTATATCTAAATTATTTATATCAACAATCGAAATATACCCAGTCCCCCGTGCACGTATCAGAATACACCATACTTTCAATGCCGAGTTAAATATATCCAGTGCTTTTATTCATGGTTAGATAGTATATTGAAACCAATACCGTCAACGATGACGTCACTTAGAGGCTCTTGACCAGAGTACAGCATCCCAAACAATTTCTTAATTTAATACAATGTAGGTATGTAGTGATAAAGAACGTAACACGTTCCAGTCTTGGCGCTGTATAGATGAAGATGAAGATGAAGATAAGGAAACGATGTTGTTATCAGACCAGTCGTAGATCATAGATCGAGTATTTGTATTCCATATTTTTTTGTTTTTTTTGACATTTTTTATTCCTTTCAAAGGGTTGTACATCAGGTTCAGAGGTTACACAGTAGGTTTAGTCAATTGTAGTGAAAATACGTTACATGGATGTACATTTCTTGTGATATTTGTATTCCATATTGGGCAAGGTAGATGCATGATACTTTCTGGTTTAAGCTGTTTCTTCAGTAGATATTTGTTACCGCCAACTGGGTGAGGTGAGGTGAGGTGAGGTGAGGTGAGGTTAGGTGAGGTGAGGTGAGGTGAGGTGAAATTGCGTTTAACGTCACGTCCAAGATTATTGCACTTATAACGACGTGCATGCACGTGTGTGTGTGTGGCTTGTACTAGTTCGCTTTATAGTTCTAGCTCACTGAGATACCATGCCTCAGTCTGTAGTCTGTTTAACATGAATACCCCACTCAGACACAGTATACAGACTCCTTGTTTTAGCCCCTTAATGCCGAGCGCCAGACAGGGTTACAAGTACCATCTTTTAACGTCTTTTGGTATGACGCGGGATCGAACCCCGGACCTTCCGCTCTCCGGGCGGACGCTCTACCACTAGACAACGGAGGCGTTCCCCGCCAACTGGGTGTAACGTCATTAGAGTAAAAATGCATGGTGGTTTTTTAAGATGTTTGTGATGAAAACGGGGCCTTCTTCCGTTTGTGTAACTATTTGTGAATACACCCAGTCACAGTATATTACTTAAGCAGCCAAGACAGATGTCGATTGTGATATCTCTGCCCAGTTGTATTAGATTATTATTATTTGTTTATCATATTATAATTACCATGGTGCCAAACAACACAAATATCACTGAAAAAGGATGTACAGTACTACAATCATGCTAGCATCTTTGGAGATGGTAATTGAGAATTGTTCATCTAAAATATTGAATGTGTGTGGCGAAAATGAGCTTTTCCACCGACGGATGTCTTCATAGACCTCTAAGAACACTTCAGCGAATGTTGTCCATAAAAGAATCCGAAACCTGCTGTTTTGACTGTCACATATAAATAGATGATACCGGGTTCGCTACCCACTATGCGCTTGACAATATGTCAGTAACCCGTGTCACCTTCTAGTTGTCTTTGCAGGTGGTATAACTCTTTCTCCATTACTATGACATTCAAAGTAAGACGCTGATTTTTCGCTTTGACAAAGCCCGCACCAATCAGTTTAGTTCACGAATTCAGCATACTGTATTCAAATTTATGTTTTCCAATTTCACATTGTCTTGGAGACATTACGGTAGCGACTGCAGGACCATTGACTCACTGCCGCACACAGCGTATACGGTTCTAGGCTATTATCTATTGTTTGCCCTCGCTATTTCTTATGTAAAGACCCGTACACAAAACACCAAGTTTCAAGTTGTGTTTTTCGCATTTGTCTAGCAAAGCTGGTATCATATTGCTTCTCTGAATGTAAGAAGTGTGTTAGATTGAATGATACGTTTTAGATCGGAGACGCTATCCACATGGACAATCGCCTTAAGGTCTGACGTAACCCTCGGCAATAAGCGAGTTGTGTAGCGTGCGTCAGTCACAACAGAGAAATGCAGCTAACAACAGACATAATCCAACGAAAATGGCTGACTATTTCAAAACCCACTTAAAACAACAAAACAGAGTAGATTGGTAAAATGATTATTTTTTATCAGAAAAAACATTCAACGAGCAACCTGTGAGTATGGATTTACGATGCTTATTGCAGATGTTCCAGCAATATAACAGGGCCATTCCAAATGAACTTCATACACTTTGCACGTCAGGGCTACACACAGCCAAGTCAGTAAAGATGATACGCAGGGACTCCTTGTATGTAGACAGTGTAAAATAAAACCCACTAAAAATAACAAAACAGAGAAAATTGGTAAAATGATCTTTTTATTATGAGAAAAAACCATTACAAAAACAACCCATGAGCATGTGTTTACGATCCTTATAGCAGATGTTCCAGCAGTATAGCAACAAGGGCATCCCAAATGAACTTCATACACTTTGCAAGACAAAAGTCAAACGTCGTGAGGAGCGAACACTATGACCACTAGGTTACACACAGCCAAGTCAGTAAAGATGATACGCAGGGACTCCTTGTATGTAGACAGTGTAAAATAAAACAGAACCCCAAACAACCTCACGTAAAATCATTCCCACACTCTTTGAAGAGTGATAACAACTAAACTTGATACATCTAAACACCTTCTGAGATCTTCTGACAGTGATATCGTAGGATGAAAAAAGCTAATATAAACGTATTCGATATAAGACGATAACAGACTGAGAAAGACATCCCTTGAGGGCAGCATCCCTGATTTAAAAGTGAGTTTTCACCAGCGTTGCCACGACGGACAGGATGAGCGCAATGCCGGAGACGGATGTGAAGCTCGCACCGCCTAAACAGAGACAAAGCTATATTGCAAAAGTCTGTGTATATAGCGTCAAAATAATGTTAATTTCCAATTGTATAACACAAATTCACGAACATTGAAACAGCGTGACTGTGCGTGTGAAGGATATCTCATGATCAAGGACAAGGATGTCTCACAGGAGAAGAACATTTAACTGGACAAGGATATGGCATGGGCAACTAATATGACCATGATATATTACGGGACAAGGTGCGCATGAGAAGGATATATCACAGGACATGATGTCTCACATCTTGCGGGACAATAGCATTGCACTGCAATAGGACATTGCACGGACAAATTGAGTGAGTGAGTGGGTGAGTTGGGTTTAACACCGCTTTTAACATTATTCCAGTTATATCACGGCGTGTCAGCTTAATGTGGGAGGAAAGCCCGAAGTGATGCAGGTCTCAGACGTTTACCACTTCGGTGAAACCCACGAGCACGGGTATGGTGCTGACAAACCTAGAAACATAATCGGGGCGAACCGGAGTTCGAACCAACAATCATAGGTTTCTGGCTTGCCCAAGGGACGCAACTCTGCACAGCGAATTGCGGCGCCTTAGACGACTGGGCCACCCGTGCCCCCTTTGAGAGAATTAGTTCTTTATGCAGCAACTACATAATCTGCCTCAATGACGTGTTTTCACACTAAAACTGACACATACAATAAACAGAATAGTTGGGTTGTCTCGCGTGACTAAACATTCTCCGTCGAGGCTCCACCACTCATGCAGTTATCAACATATACAGGTGGCTCGATGGGAAAATGTTTTTGTGTAATTTGAAATGTCAAATCCTGCATTTGTTAATAAATACTGACCTTTTAGCGTGACAGAGTTAATTTCATTCTAAATTGACGCTGCTCATTGGCAAGTTCTGGATACATAAAGTGTATTGTCCAGGGAGACGAAGATGTGGGATCGGTACCAGGATATCACAAGCTTATTTCGAATATATTCACCATAAAGGGTGGTTTTAGTATCTGGGTATCCGTTAATGGACAGATCCGTTGCAGATTCTTCCTAGAGAAGTGTCCAGGTAGGTAAATGTGTTCAGTGACGGTATAACATGGACCGAAATATACCCACTAACGGATAGAAAATTGGTATGAATAGCAATTCGTTTCAATCCGCTTTCTTGGAGACGTTATTAAAGTACAATCATGAAACAAATGATCCAAAATGGTATCATCGGTACTTACTGCAGCCCAAAGCGTTTCTCAAGATGTTGTTGGACGTGATGGCAGCGTCGATGAGTGGTTTAGTAAATACGTCTGTGCCACTGCTGGTGCAGCTGCTGGACTGGGTGGACAGACATGAGATGTAGGTTTGGTAGTTCCTGTGTACAGATGAAACAACATATTACACACCGGGCCCCAGCGGTATTGTCGCAAATGACAAGTTATATTGTTGTTCTTATTTCAAATTGTAAAACTAATGAGATTATGAATCGCAATGTGAGTGGTCAAAAAGCCGTTCTTCTGAAATATCGAACACTTAAAACATCCGCAAATCTGAACACACATACATTTCTATTTCCGAAATAAACAATTGTTAATAGACAAGGTATCGTTTACTCATACCATATTGACTTAACAGATGACAAAATCTAAAATTGATTATTTGAGTACAATACGTTAAGCCCGATTTCCTCTGCCGTGATATTGCCAGATCATTGCTAAAAGCGGCCTAAAAAACAAATATTTCAAATGTCATTGTCTATTAGAATTAATCACAATGAATGTGTTATTAACAAAGAAAAAAACAATTAGAATAAGAAGGTTATTTCAATCGAGCACAAGTTCTGTTCAAGATGGTGCGAAACGAGTAACAGAAACGCATAAGAAAAAATAACTTCGCTCGATATCGATGTATGGCCATAATCGAAATATCTTCGCTTGGGATCCATATAATATCTAAACATGTTACATACGTGCATCCAGTCGTCCCTGTAAGAGCACCGGTCAGGGAGCAGGATCCTATGCTGCAGGAAGCTCCTGCTCCTGTACCTGAAGTAAAAGCAATTTTCCATAAGGTATTCACTGAAACTTATTCCTGACTCCGTTGAGTAACATTACTCACTGTCCATTGTTCGGTTATTTGGTAACTTGTTAATCTAGATGTTTTTAAGGATATGGCGGGACGAAGGTATCGCGTGGCATATGGAGATGTCTCGGCATGGGCAACAAACAGGGCAATGGCATATTACAGGAAAAGGTGCACAAAAGAAGGATAAATCACAAGACAAGACGTCTCACATATTGTGGGACAATTGCATCACGCGGTAATAGTACATCGCCGGTAACAAGGGCATCACACGGGTCAAGGGCATTACAGGATTAGAACATCTGGGTGATACTTCTCTCAGTACACGAACATCTCGGGTGATAAGGGCATCTTGCAGGACAGTGACATCTCGGGTAATAAGGACGTAGCTCTCCTGTCACCATACTGATTGTCTTATTAAATAACGAGTATATTCTTGTTTTGTTTAGGTTATGTTTACGTTGCGTCGGGGAAGGTTGAAATTCAATAGCATTACATACAATCACAGAGTGAACGAAAGAGTTTATGATGAATGAAGCTGCTGTGACCAATATTCCACCTGTATCACGTGGGTCTGTGTATTAATCAAGTAATAAACCACGCAAAGCAGTGACTGGAAACATGTCTCAGCTATCAGGACACCCGACATATCCCCCAAGTCACACAGAGGTATGAAAATCAATTCTTTTCAATCCGCTTTTTTGGGGACGTTAAAATACAATCACAAATAATTCAAATATTTATGTCATCGGTACTTACTGCAGCTCAAAGCGGCTCTCAAGGCGTTGTTGGCCGTGATGGCAGCGTCGATGATTTGTTTAGCAATTACGTCTGTGCTACTGCTGGTGCAGCTGCTGGACTGGGTGGACAGACATGAGATGTAGGTTTGGTAGTTCCTGTGTACAGATGAGACAACATATTACACACCGGCCCCGTGCGGTATTGTCGCTAATGTCCAGTTATATTTTAATTATTATTTCAAAAATTGTAAAACTAGTCTTATTATGAATCGGAATCTGAGTGGTCGAAAAGCCGTTCATCTGAAATCTTCCGATATGGAATACATACCCTCCCCCCATTTGAATCTTTTATTTCCGATATAAACAATTGTTAATGGACAAAGTATCGTTTACGCATACCATAATGACTTTAACACAATGTTGACAATATCTAAAATTAATTATTGGAGTACAATGCGTGAGGCCCAATTTCCCCCGCCGTGATATTGCCGGACGATTGCTAAAAGCCGCGTAAAAACAATTATTTGAGAATGCATCACAGTATTACATATCTCAGATTTTGAATTATAATCCCTAGTATATAAAGGAAATTCAAACAAGATTTTTGAAATATTGTCATTGTCTATTAGAATGAAACACAACGAACGAATTATTAATATAGAAAAAAACAATTAGAATAAGAAGGTTATTTCAATCGGACACAAGTTACATTCAAGATGATGCGAAACGAGTAATAGAAACGCATTAAAAATATCTACGCTCGATATTGATTTATCTTGGCTTGGGATCCATGTAATATCTAAGCATGTTACATACGTGCATCCAGCCGTCCCTGTAAGAGTACCGGTTAGTGTGCATGATGCCAAGCTGCAGGCAGCTCCTGTTCCAAGAAGGGCACCTGCAGAAAAAAACAATTTTTCCATAAGGAATTCACTGAAACTTATTCCAGAACCCGTTAGGCATCATTACTCAGTGCCAATCGTTCGGTTATTTGGCAACTTGTTAATCCTAACGGTTTCTTAGAGCGTCCGTGCTTTCGAGGTTTCACTGGACATGTACAATGTATGTTGAAATGAAGTAACTCTTTGACTTGTTATTGAAATATCAATCGCGAATGAACAATTTATTGATATTTTCTTATTTCGCCCTAAAGATTACTGTCTGAGATTTTTGTTTTACAAATATGACATAATTTTAATTTCGACCATCGATCAATTGATTCAGACACGGCAAACCCAGCCATAAAGAAGGTATGGGTGATCAAGGGCCTTCCCAGGCATTGTTCTAAATCCATAATGACAATGAATAATAATAGAACACTGCGTTTGGTCTCGTGTAGTGGTAGCGAAGGGTTGTTGTGTTATTTTAGGTCAGGGATCAATACGTACTGAGTGTGAAAATGGTGCACAATGCCTATAAATGATGCCTGTGATTCGTTCGTGAAGTGTGTCAGAACTGAGATGATGTCAAAGTTACCCACAAGACAAGTGCGTGTATATGACAGTGGTAAAAGAAGAAAGCGAAAGTGTAGAAAACCATGGTGGACTGATAATCTTACGTCATTGTTGAATGACATGTGCAGAGCAGAGAGAAAATTGAATAAGTAAAAGGGTCCAAGGAAGCGGCTGTATAAGCATGTGTGTGAGAAGAAAAGAAAGTGCTTTGACAGATGTGTGACGAAAGCGAAAAGACAACGCACACGGAAGGCAGAAGAAGATATTGAAAGACTATATGTGATACAGAACAAGGGGAGTTTTGGAAGAAGATAGGGAAGATAGGTGTCGATAACAACAGGAATAGGAGAATACCTTTTGAAGTCCAGTTAAAAGATGGAACAATATCCAGTGACCGAAGAACAGTTTTAGAAGCTTGGAAGAATGCATATTCAAGCCTGTTAAAATGTAACATTAGTACAACATAACCCTGTGATCCAGATGAAGACGGACTTAGTGAGACTGCTCTGGACACTGTGATATCAAGACACGAGGTACAACAGGCTATTATGCAGGCGAAAAATGGAAAATCACCGGGAAGTGACGATATACCAGCTGAAGTTTTCAAAAATAAAAATTGTTTAAATTTCTTATATAATCTGTTTAACTTATGTTTCCGTGCTGGTCAAGTACCCTCACTATGGGCAAAGGGGATAATCAATCCTATTCGGTAGAGTTCTACAGCAGACCCAAGAGATCCACTCGCCTACAGAGGTATCACTCTAGCAAATTCAACATTCAAGATTTATTGTGGACTCCTGAATAATCGACTTTCTAAGCATGCTGAACTCAAAGATTTATTGTCTGATAATCAAAATGGATTTAGAAAAGGTCGATCAACGGTGGAACATGTGTCAACATTAACATCTATAATTGAAACGAGGAAAAGTCTCAAGAAATAAACTTTCGTCAGTTTTATTGACTTGACGAAGGCTTATGATTGCATAGACAGAAGTATTCTCTGGAATAAATTACGTTATATGGGCATTCAGGGACAATTTTTAAATGCTCTCGTGTCGCTGTATAGAGACGTTAAATGCTGTGTACGACTAAATGGACAATACACTCCATGGTTTGAAGTGAAATGTGGCCTCAAACAAGGTTGTCTTTTATCACCGCTTTTATTTAACCTCTATGTGAACGATCTGATTGACAAGGTCAATGCCACGTCTCTAGGCGTTGAAGTCGACGGCGAAAACATCAGTATCCTCGCCTATGCAGATGACATCATACTCATTACAAAAAATGATAAGAATATGAATCTGTTGTTGGACGTTCTACATAAGTGGTGCGTTGAAAATAAAATGAACATAAATGCAGGAAAGTCCAAGTTAATCCACTTCAGGAATCCATCGGTATGTCAAACTACACAGCGTTTCGAGTGTGGGACGAATGTTATTGAAATTGTCGACAGTTATAATTATCTGGGCTTACTCCTCTCTGAACACTTGGACTATAGGAGAATGGGACAAGCTATAGCAAGTTCGGCTAACAGAGCTTAAGGGCTGCTGATATCAAAATTCAAGGTTCTCGGATGGATGCAGTACAATACATACACTAAGCTTTATGACTCCATGGTGTGGGCGACAATGCAGTATGGATCAGCTATCTGGGGAACATACAATTTCAGCTGTATCAACGCAGTCCACAACAAGGCTATGCGATTTTCATGGGATTGAGAAAGTTTGCTCCGAATAATGCTGTATCTGGAGACATAGGGTGGATTCCCCCAATAGTAAGACAATGGGAAACTATCTCAAAGTTATACAAACGTTGCAGCTCCCTTCTACAACATAGATTAACAAGAAAAGTATTTGTGTGGGCCAATAAACACGCACTAAACAACAAGAGGAACTGGAACTTCAGAGTACACACGAAGTATAAACCATTAGGTCTATCTGTTTTTACCTCCACAAATAACACGTATCACTATCGTCAAATTGGAGGTAAAGTGAGAGATACTGTATTTCAACGCTTCAAGGAGGAATGGAAAATTTCAGTGAGTCAAGTGAACAGCCGAAGCGGTAACGGAGGCAACAAGCTACGACTATATAATCAGCTGAAGAACGAACATAATGTTGCTTATTTTAATCAGATTCCTATGTCAAAGCCTATCAGACGCTCTCTAGCTGTATTCAGATGTGGTGTAGCCCCAATACGAGTCGAGACTGGGCGATATACAAACCTACTTATCAACGAGAGAGTGTGCTTTTATTGTGATACGTGTGTGGAAGACGAAGTCCATGTTCTATTGCGCTGCCCAACTTATAATGATGTTCGACAGGTTTTATTAGATAAATGTAATGAAGTGTGGTGTGGTTTTAAAGATGAATGTGATATTGTGAAAGTTTGTTTTATCCTGGCCAGTACCAGTGTTGTAACGCTTAGTACCAAAACCTGCAAGGCAATTTTACAGCTGCGTAGTAATATTTTATATAAAGCCTAATATATTTTTTAATTTGCATATATGTTGTACAGAATTTTATCTTCGATAATGTTTTTAAACTATGCTTATACTACTTCTAGTAGTTTGTCTCTCAAACTCAAATAGGAGTGGCTTATTTTATTTTATTTTATGTTATTTTCATAGCATTTTATATGTAAATTGAGGCGAGACATAAATAAACTATCTGTCTGTCTGTCTGTCTGTAAGTGTACAATAGTACGAAAGAAGGGTTAGATGGTCACACACCACTGATTATCTCTTAGCCATCACTTGAGAGAAAAAACATCAATCACAATACGAAGATGGCGTGTCCCGATATAAAGGTTTCGTTTTGAGAGCCTGGTGTGTAGGGTAGGGACAGACAGACAGACAGACATTAACGTCTCACTACATTTACACCATTATCATACACAGAGATTGGGGTTGTGGGTTGGGGTGGCCACGAGTACAATCTGCCTCGGTGAGACCTAGTTCATTGCAGAAAGACAAAAGAAACAAATCAAATTAATTCTCCATTTGGACAGACAAGCTGGATTAAAACTATATAAGTCGATATAGAATATTTTTTTGAATAAATTATAGACTAGGATTGAGAAAAATTAAAAATATTACATAAAGCTAAAAGTTCATCTCCTACTATGAACAGCTGAATTGTGAAATGTGTATCTATTGTAAAATTAGTAAACCTGCATTTCCCTGGAGAATCAAAGGTATTTTATACATTGGTGTATACTTCGGTGGTCAATGGAACATGACTTCCACACGTTTTAAACATTCACGCTGAAGGAGAATGTAAGGTGAATCAAATGGAGGTCAGAACGCGTGCATCTTTGTTCAAACAATAGAATTCCTACATTCAGTAATATTGCTCTATTAAATTTGATATTGAGAATGTTAAAAGTCTATAGGTATATTCTTCCCTGGAAGAAAATACCTTAGTCTATACAAGCAACAAGAGCTATTCGTTTGCTCAAACAGTCTTGATAACCCGATCGTAAATGGTAACGTGTGTTATACTTTTGTCTGAGGAGGGAACAGTTAAAATCATGTTAAAACCATCTCTCTCTCTCTCTCTCTCTCTCTCTCTCTCTCTCTCTCTCTCTCTCTCTCTCTCTCTCTCTCTCTCTCTCTCTCTCTCTCTCTCTCTCTCTCTCTCATCTATAGTGTTGTATGCATATATATTGAATTTGATTTTTTTGTAAATACCAGGGAGAGGGCAATCTAAGTTGGAAGAACTTGTCCCCCAATCCCGTTCACTGCTTGTGAATAAATATGTTTAAATCAAAATCATGTAGTATTAAAAAAATATATCAGAACGAGTAACATGTGCTATACCATTGACTAAGGGGGGAACAGTTAACAGCATGTGGCATTAAAACAACATCTTGGAACGAATAACATTTACTATACCTTTGACTAAAGAAAGAGCAGTTAAAATCCTGTTACAGTAGTATTAAAAAGAAATCTCATAACGGGTAGCACATGATTGTCCTTGAATCTAGAACAACGATTCTTAAGTAACTTTCCTCCTTTTTCGAATACTAGTCTCAGAACGAGTTATTATTCCTTTGTCAAATAAGGGAAAAGTTGAAATTTTATATTAATAATATTAATATTGTACCGAGCAACATATGCTTTTCCTTTAATCACGAAAAACAGTAAGTATCATGCATACCATCTCATTCTAAAGATGTAAAATCAATAGCGTAAAACGTTTTAGTTCCTGTAAAAGTTCATACTTACCAAGCAAGAGGATTACTGTCGTAAATTTCATGGTCGCCGGTTACTTGTTTGACTGAAAGCGTACCAGCGACTGGACGAGTTGTAGTTGTGACGATAGATGAAGTGTTTCCCAAGCACTGGCGCCATATGTTTTATATTTGTGTACGTGTCGTCATGGTGATGCTCGCCATCGTGAATGTAAGTTCATCCATAAAACAAAACCCAGTTCATCTTTGTGAGGATGTAGGACATCCATTGATTTATTTCATAAGAATACCCCCACCCGCCGACCTTCACCTCCCCTCTCTCACACTCACTTCACCCCCCCCCCCCCCCCCTCTCTCTCCCCCCGCTGCTGACCTGCAAAGCTTAAGTATTTGCTTATCACTATGGTTTAAACAGAAAATAACCAATCGAAAAATGGTTTGTCCGACTTCAAAAGATGAAGAAGACACGGGTTGGCATGACAGACCATAAACAAAATAACATGACGATATTGCTGTGTAAAGCACAATCTCATGGTCATAGTATATATGGCACTATGTATAGTAATTAAACGTATACACACTGTTAAAGCTTTAATTATTTCAAAGAAAATTTTATATCATATAATGGGTAGGTTTCTCGGCAGGATAAAGCCAACGGATAAAAAACGATATCCGTTGGGGTCATATGCTGATAGAGATGCAAATATCAAAGGTCAGATAGGGACTACTTTCAGTGTTTACAAACAAACATGGCGTCGCCCTTGTCATTCGGCAATCGAGTCAGAATTAACCATCGGGAATCTGGATAAACTAAAGGAATAATTGCTATCATTATCAAAAGAACAGTCTAATATACTGAAAATCAGTGTCTAACTGTGATGTAGCTAAGGCATTTTATAACTTTTGGCAACTTTGGAGATATAAATTTCGAACAAAGGCTCGCTAAATAGAAGGTTTATTCCTAATGCAGGATATTTACCATCCCCAAACACACTCGCGTGATAACGTCTATATATCAGAGACATATCATACAGTTTTAGGGTCTATACGTCTTCAGGAGCAACGCTTGTTCCAACTACAATCATGATTGATAAGGATTATTATGTTTGACAATTTTGCCAAGACGTTTACCCGTAGAGGGTACATATGAACCCAAGGGACCCCAGGTTAAAACATGTTAAATAAGATCCTCACTAAAATCTTGCATTTATTACAATAAAATAAAAACCAAAATTTTGAAAAGTGTAATATATTTGGAATGGAGGATATTCTAAAGACGTGATTAGGAACACTGATCATTGCATATTCTTGGGAAGGAGGCGGGTGGGGCGTGTGTGTGTGTGTTTGTGTGTGTGTGTGTTGTGTGTGTGTGTGTGTGTGTGTGTGTGTGTGTGTGTGTGTGTGTGTGTGTGTGTGTGTGTGTGTGTGTGTGTGTGTGTGTGTGTGCAAAAACAAATGTTCAAAAATATATAACAATTAAATTATTTTGCTTCGGGTTTAATACTGAAAATAAACTGTTAATAGCGCATGCTAGAGCTCCTGAAAAACGTGTGCTGTGCAAAACGTGTTCGGTTCCTGATCTCAGAGTAAAAGATAATATCTTCTATCAAACATCATTTCAATATAGAAAAATATTTATTTGGAGTAAGAGACCTTAAATTTTGTAGCATTTGGTCAAATATTCTCCCCCCATAGGAGTAAAATGTGTATTTAATTTCTTCATTTTGTCTCTAGCTGCTGCTTATAAATATGAAATATATAAGGGTATCTCTCCCATTGGTAGCTATTATTCACCCTTTATTTTCTCTCTCTCTTTCGTTTTGTTTGTCTTCCTTTGTAGCTTTTCATCTATGCATTTTATTCCACATTCCTTCTCTGCACTCTTTCATTTATTTTGTTGTACAATTATTCCTAAATATATATGTGAAAATGAAAATGTCGCCCCAGCAACGCGTTTTTCGCCCACATCATGATGTAAATTCGTTTCTCTGTACTTTTAATTAAAAACCTTAGGTCTGTGTAGATTTATATTAAACATAATCCTCAACACGTTTCGAACTAAAAATATTGAGCGTCTGTTTAACACCTGAATACAACAGAATCAGTAAAGGCGCCATCGTGTCGCTGGATAGTTTGTCTCGTCCATCACTTGATTGTCTGGTCAAGAGTCGATTGTTTACAAGACGCCGTTGTTTGGCAGGAGAATTGCTGTACGGCATCAGCCAAAAAAACCTTACTTTTCTATGCAAATTGTGTGAGTGGCGGGTGCTGCCAGTAGGGGCCACCTTTTCGTGAACACCTGGTGTCATCACTTATTTCCCTTATCTATTCATCCCCACACCCTACATAATGTCACATACCAAGCACCCTTTCAAATTACAGCTTCACTGACGTCAAAGTGGACGTGTCATCTTCAGCCTTCACTATCCATTCATATACCTCATTATCGATTATTGGAAAGTGCATCCTGGTGCTAATTATGACTATGTGAAACTCATATTGATGTGATGGTTGTGGCATGAGAAGGATAAATATATGAATAATACACGATTCTGATAAAATTAAACATGCAATGTCAAGAGTTTAAACTGAGACATGTTTCAATTATAGCATAAAATTTCAGCATGTTTTTTTACCATTCGGCGTAATTCAACTGTGGGAGAACATTTATCTGACACAAAGGGACTGACCTTTTAACATCAACAGTTGTGATTTGGTTCGGGACAGTTTATTTAGTCAGTCTGCGCTCAAGGGAGACATTTATATCTCTAAAATGACCCCCAAACTTCTTTTAAGGACATCCAAAGTGTCCAATGTAAAACCCGAGGACATATTATGGTTACCTCATCATTTTCTTGTACAGATTCAAAAATAAAAACAATCCCAGACACTCACCCCCAGCCCACTACAGTATGTACTCCAGACACTTACCCTCAACCCGCTACAGTATGTATTCCAGACACTTACCCTCAACCCGCTACAGTATGTATTCCAGACACTTACCCCAACCCACTACAGTATGTATTCCAGACACTTACCCTCAACCCGCTACAGTATGTATTCCAGACACTTACCCCAACCCACTACAGTATGTATTCCAGACACTCACCCCCAACCCGCTACAGTATGTATTCCAGACACTCACCCCAAACCCGCTACATTATGTATTCCAAACACTCACCCCCAACCCGCTACATTATGTATTCCAGCCACTCACCCCCAACCCACTACAGTATGTATTCCAGACACTCACCCCCAACCCGCTACATTATGTATTCCAAACACTCACCCCCAACCCGCTACATTATGTATTCCAAACACTTACCTCCAATCCACTACAGTATGTATCCCAGACACTCACCCCAAACCCGCTACAGTATGTATTCCAGACACTTACCCTCAACCCGCTACAGTATGTATTCCAGACACTTACCCTCAACCCGCTACAGTATGTATTCCAGACACTTACCTCCAATCCACTACAGTATGTATTCCAGACACTTCCCCTCAACCCGCTACAGTATATATCCCAGACACTTACCTCCAATCCACTACAGTATGTATCCCAGACACCTACCCTCAACCCGCTACAGTATGTATTCCAGCCACTCACCCCCAACCCGCTACAGTATGTATCCCAGACACTCACCCCCAACCCACTACAGTATGTATCCCAGCCACTCACCCCTCAACCCACTACAGTATGTATCCCAGACACTCACCCCCAACCCGCTAAAGTATGTATCCCAGACACTCACCCCCAACCCACTACAGTATGTATCCCAGACACTTACCTCCAATCCACTACAGTATGTATCCCAGACACTCACCCCCAACCCACTACAGTATGTATTCCAGACACTCACCCCAACCCACTACAGTATGTATCCCAGACACTTACCCCAACCCACTACAGTATGTATTCCAGACACTCACCCCCAACCCGCTACAGTATGTATCCCAGACACTCACCCCCAACCCTCTACAGTATGTATCCCAGACACTCACCCCCAACCCGCTACATTATGTATCCCAGACACTTACCTCCAATCCACTACAGTATGTATCCCAGACACTCACCCCCAACCCGCTACATTATGTATTCCAAACACTTACCTCCAATCCACTACAGTATGTATCCCAGACTCTCACCCCCAACCCGCTACATTATGTATCCCAGACACTTACCTCCAATCCACTACAGTATGTATTCCAGACACTCACCCCAACCCACTACAGTATGTATCCCAGACACTCACCCCCAACCCGCTACAGTATGTATCCCAGACACTCAGCCCCAACCCGCTACAGTATGTATCCCAGACACTCACCCCCAACCCGCTACAGTATGTATCCCAGACACTTACCTCCAATCCACTACAGTATGTATCCCAGACACTCACCCCCAACCCGCTACAGTATGTATCCAAGACACTTACCTCCAATCCACTACAGTATGTATCCCAGACACTCACCCCCAACCCACTCCAGTATGTATCCAAGACACTCACCCCCAACCTTCTACAATATGTATCCCAGACACTTACCCCAACCCACTACAGTATGTATCCCAGACACTCACCCCCTACCCGCTACAGTATGTATCCCAGACACTTACCCCCAACCCTCTACAGTATGTATCCCAGACACTCACCCCCAACCCACTCCAGTATGTATCCCAGACACTCTCCCCCAACCCTTTGCGAATGTCAGTGTTTCAACCATCCAAACATTTTTTAAATATCTTTTTGAGCTCTGTGTTTTTTTTCTATTTAGAAGTATATGATTCATTATTTCTAACAATAGAATATTCGTTTTGTTAACACTAAAATTACACGTTTAAAGCGTTTATTGTGAAAAATATACCTGAAGCAAATGTCCATCGGATTATAACTGGGAGACTCATTGACGCTCTGTATTTCGTGAAACCTCGTTTCTCATCACATTACTGTTCCGAGTGAAATCGTTTGGATTAACAAATGTCCGGGTTAACGAGTGATGGGTATATGGTAATGTCCTTTTGGTAATAAATAGAAGTTTCAAACAGACATTATCCTGTAGGACGGGTTTCAGGTTTAAAGAGGTTTAATAATATTTATATGCCGGTTTTTGATCACGAACAGTGAACCCGAATGCGATGGTCATGAACCATTATAGCAAGGCTAACATGTGTACGACATGAGGTCGTTGCTGTGTGACGTGCTGTCATATCGATCACATCTGTTTGTTTACACTGAAAAGTTAATGGACTATATTA